GCCCTGGGGAACCCCAGACCAGGGACGGACAGAGCCCAGAGGACCACCAGAAACCGGGACCAATAGTCCATCCACCCCAGAGCCGTTCAGGCCCCCAAGAACCAACCCCCAGCCCCACAGCCAGCCCGCCGCCCAAAGAGGCCACCAAACCCCAGCAAGGACGACCTGGCCAAGAGCATCCAGCCAACCACCGACAGAGCAGGGGGGCACCAAGAGCAGGCTCTCACCACAACAAAGGGGCCAACCAGTCGATGTGATGAAGCCAATCAAAGGAGCCCAAAAAGTCTGATCCGGTGTGGCAGCAGWGGCTGTTTCAATACTAATATAATCTAACAGAAGATTTCTATACTGATTAATACTAAGATCATCTTTATTTTTCCAATTCAAGAGTATGATTTTCTTTGCAATGCTTAAGGCAGTGAGAATCATATGAGATGTGTTTTTCCCTATAGTGACATCATCTAAGATAGCCAATAAGCAAACAGATGGAGAGGGTGGAATATTTCATTTCAGACACTTAGACAAGTCTTCACAAACCCGGACCCAGAACCTCTGAACAGGTGGACAGACCCAGAATTAATGGATATAATTGTCTGGTACATTGCCTGTACACTGTGAGCAGTTATTAGATGAAGTAAATCCCATCTTGAACATTTGCTGGCCTGTATAATGTACTCTATAGAGGACTTTATATTGTATTAATTGCAGATTGGAGTTTCTAGTTATTTTATATGTTTCCGAGCATATTTGAGACAGGTGTTTTGGTCAAAGTTGACTCATAAGTCTCTTCCATTTTGCAACAGGTAATGGTATTGAGTCATCTATTCTAGACAGTTACTGATTTTAGATCGCAATTTGGGTGATTTAAGATGAAAGAATTCTAATACACTTGTTGGTGTCTCTAACAATGTTTAATTAAGCTTAAATTTGTGTTTAATTATAGACTTAATTTGTTGATATTCTAAGAAATATTTCCTGTCAATGCCATATTGTATTATTAATTTATTAAATGGAATAAAGTCTACACCTTCATATATATGTTCCAGGTGTTCAATTCCTTTACCTCTCCAACCTGGGAAGTTTAACATATTGCTGTCATGCTGCCAGAGATGAGCTGATATTGATACTTAACATGTCGTTTTATGTTTGTACTAATAAATGAAAGATCCGAAATCCTAATGTTATGGCATAAAGTTTGTTCTATGTCCAGCCAGGTTTCATCTAGTTGATTAGGATTTATCCACTTTCAAATGTATTTTAGCCTATTGGCTAGAAAGTAGTGATAAAAGTTTGGAAACTATAGCCCTCAGGTATCTTTCYTTTTCTGTAATGATTTTAGGCTAATACGAGGAGTTTTATTTTTCCACGGGAATTCAGAAATAAAGGAGCCCAGGGATTTAAACTAGTCAGGTGAAGGTTTATTTGGTATCATTGAGAATAAATAATTTATTCTCGGTGAGCATCATTTTAACTGAGGCAACTCTTCCCATAAGTGATATGGGTAGAGATCTCTGTCTAGTAAGATCTTCAGTTTTCTTTAGAAGCGGGATGTGGTTTAATTTTAAGTCTAGGAGAAATATTAATACTCAAATATATAATATTACCTGACTGCAGATGCGTGTTGAGGGAATTGTTAAAAACACAGTTAATTGGAAGAACTGTAGATTTTAACCAATTTATAGAGTAGTCAGAAACTTTTGAGAAAGAGTTTATTAATTCAGTAACCTTAGATATTGAGTTTTCTGAGTGCTGAAGAAAAAGTAAGACATCATCAGCATAAAGACGTAATTTTATGTTCTATGTTCTTACATTGTATGCCTTTAATATCTGCAGTTTGCCTGATTGCAGCTGCTAAAGGTTTGATAAAAATGGCAAACAGTGAGTGGGACAGTAGGCATCCCTGCCGGGTGCCTCTCTGTAAACAAAAGCTAGAAAATGTTTGGTTATTTGTACTGACACATGCTGTTGATGAGCTATATATTTTTAACCAATTAATGAAATGGATTCCAAACCCAAATTTATGCAGGGTTGCAAATAAGAATTTCCAGTTTACGCTATCAAATGTGTTTTCTGCATCCAGAGACAAAATAGCCATTTCAATATTTTTACTGTATGAATAGTCTATTAAATTATATAATCTACGTGAGTTTGTAGTCGAGTGCCTTCCTTTTATGAAGCRGGTTTAGTCAGGATGAATTATGAGAGGAGTTATCTTCTCTAATCTTTTAGAGAAGGCTTTACATATTTTAACATCAACATTAATAAGGGAAATGGAACGATAACTTGTAGGTAGTCTGGGTCTTTGCCTGGTTTTAATTTGAGACTGATGTTGGCCGAATTAATATGTACTGGGAGTCTGCCATTTTCCTCTGACTCCTGTAGCATACTATGAAATCCTGGTGCTAAGATATTCCATAATTCTTTATAGAATTCTGCTGGAAACCCATCTGGGCCTGGAGCTTTTTTACTAGGCATGTTTTTAATAGCTTCACATAATTCAGCTGATGTTATTGGAGAGTCTAGTTCTAAAGACTGATTACTGGGTAATTTTGGAAGTGTTACTTTTTCCAAAAATTGTTCAATATCCTTATCTGAAGGGTTTATTTGCMGAGTGTAAAGCTCGATAGAAGTCTCTGAAAACACTATTTACTTTTTTCTGGTCATAAGTTATATTTCCAGTAATGTCTTTAACACCAGATGTAGTCATTTTTTCTTTATACATTTTGAGTTGGTTAGCCAAAAAGCTTCCTGATTTATTACTATGTTCAAAATTTTCTAATCGAACTCATGTCAAGAATTTTTTTTGTCAATGGATTAATTTAGCTCTAATTTTGCCTTCTGCATTTTGCTCTATTTCCTCTTCTTGCAAGGCTGCTAACATTTTGATAGATCCCTCTAGTTTTTGAATACATTTATTTTCTTTTTATTTGTTGAACATGATATTATTTTGCCTCTCATGGCTGTTTTCCCTGCCTCCCAGAGAGTAGATGCTGATGTTCCTGGTAAGTCATTATACGCTAGGTATGATGCCCATTCATCTTTAAAATATTGTATAAACTGTTCATCCTTGAGCAATGATGTACTGTATTAAATATCCAGTTAATTTTTTCTCACAGGTTCAAACATTTTTATTGATTGATTATGTACTGCTCTGTCAATCTTTTTTTTTTTTTTTTTGCTCATATTTGTTGGTTTCATGGTTGAAGGTACCCTGAAGCATTCACAAAAAAAGCAAGTAAATCTGAAGCTAACCAAATTTAAAAAAAACTGACTTAAAGTAAAGTTGTAATTTATTTGAAATTCTTTGCTTTGTCTGCAAGAAGTGATCCTAAAGGGTCTTTTTCATCCAAGATATTTACCTCGGCACACAGCTTCACAGTTTCAGTTTGGGTTTGTGGTTCATGGGTTTTGTGCTGAAAACCTGTTGGGGTTTGTTGGCTTACATATGTGTCTGTGGGTGTTGTGGTATTTTAAATGCTTTGGTTTGTGCATGTGGTCTGAGGAACTTCACTACTATTTGGTTTATGAGTGACACCAAACATTAAATTTGTTTGTTCCCATTTTTCAGTCTTCATCACAGTTTTTGTTTCCTGTCATCACATGTTTGCAACCGAGTTTCCTTTTAAATGTAATTTCATTTGCAAAAACTGTTTTTTTCCATTTATTTTGAATTGGTCTTTGCTATTTTCCCTCACATTTTTACATTACATTCCCTTTTTTTATCGATTGCCTTCCAGAGCCGATTAAGAGTGCGTGGGGACAATATTTATGTGAGGCACAGTAATTTAATGTTGGAGGTTGGTACTGGCGTCGTCTGATGGCTGAACATAAGATCTACGTGTTTTTTCCGACGCCATCAGAACTACATGTTTAGTCTGTACTTTACTGTAACGGACTGCTGCCCTCTCGCACTCTCAGGCTCTGTATGCATGCCTGCGTGTCTTCTTGTGTCTGGACTTCTGCTGAAGTTTACTCTCAAATCCAGATTTTCAGCAACTCTCTGAAAACCTATTTGGATGAAGATCTTTCAGTGCAAGTTGTCCTGGTTTACTCAGCAGCTATTTTGAACAGATTTTCAGCAGACATGAGCAACTGATTAACTGCTCAAATGGGATTAAATTAGAGATATTAATAGTAAAAAATCTGCAATCCTGAAATTGTCGTCTTTATTTTGCAAAGATTTTAGGTTATTTGAACCTCTTATGTGTGCTTCTATGTTCTACTTACACAGTTTGTTTATATTTATTACAGCTTTTTAGCTTTTAAAGGGGGGGGTGGATATGCAAAATATAATTTTTGAGCTTTATATCGTGGTATAGTCATTCCTTCATCAGAAACACACCCAAAGTGTTGCTTTAACTCGTTTATGTATGTTTGAGAAATCCTTGAATCTCTTGTGGTAGCCGTGTGAACTAGCTTAAACACTTGCTGGTACAAAGCACCGCCTATTTACACAAGGCTCCTCCCTGGAGCTTATTCCCTAGCCGAGCTTCCACCCCATAGAGCACCCCCTCCCCCACACAGCTCCACTAGGCTAGCAACTTATATTTTAAAAATGGTGGCTGTTCATGATTTCATTGCAAAACATAGCTTCATAATGATATATACTTTTAATGTCTTTGCAAAAAGCAGCTTACGTGTATGTATGAGGAGATATATTAGCAAGCGGAAACATCTCGTAAGAGTCGACTGCATCCTGAGTTGTCTTTTCCAAAAAAAAAAAAAAAAAAAAATGATAATCAATGTTCTGTCGGTTTTTATAACAAAATACAACACTCCTACGAAAGGTTGAAAACAACACGAAGCATTGTTGTGATGACATGCTGAAGTGGGAGTGTCAGAAACGGTAGGACGTTTCCTAAAGAGACAGAGGACAATTTCAAGGCCTAGGCTATGATTTATTTTTGATGTATACATCTGAAATACATAARTGAAACGAACATYCAGTGGRTACTTGATTGTGGTATAGAATTAGTCTATATAACACACAATACCCCTTTAATAAACCTATAGTTGCTTTCTTGTTTAAGAGCAAAGGATAAAGCACTTGGAGACAAGAAAAAGCTAAATATTGGACTTCTTATTTTGTATGTGGTTCAGAAAGTGATTTCAGCAGTTATACCATCAAGTTTTTTTAATTTTAGCATTTTATTGGTCTATTGTAGTGTTCAATACCAAGAGGACAGTTTTAGCTTGACTTATTAGATCTGCAGCAAATTTTAAGAAAACATTAACAGTTTAAATTGATTGAATCAATAAAGTGTTTGTATTAATAGATAAAACTGTTTCAAGGAGATACGAATAAAGTAAACATGTATTTGTGAGCACAATATTCAGAAACTGAAGGATCTTTYGYTATAAAGCTTAATAAAATGTGTCTYATGTGCATCTATGCAACAGCAGACTCCTGATCATGCAAAAAAATCTCCCAGGCTGAGTGTTCACAATGGCTGCTTTGTGAATCTGATGGATGGTGTTTCAACYTGACTTCAGTGCATGCTCAGTGCATGTTGAATGCTGTTTGGTGATTGTGTTTTATTTTGCCGTGTTCTCAATCGGTTGGTCAAAAAGTTTGATTCTTTGTCAGGCGGCCGTGTTTAACCTGACTAACCCTGCCTGTTTAACCCACATGAGGAGCTTCCTGCCTGTTTTTTTCTGGTGATTGGCTGCCAGTGTTAAAGTGGTTTGATAACGTACTAAAGCAACAACACTTTTGTGCACACAGTGGGGCTGATAGTGATCTTCTGCCTTTGCTGWAAAAGGTTAAGAAAGTGTCTGATGTCAGAAAAAGTTGAAAGAATAAAACAAAAAATATAATCTTTACAGGATAAGAAAGGTGTGTTTGGAGTAACACACAGTTCATCCGAGGTGATCAGATCYCAAGTGGGTAGTTTTGTGTTCCGAGTGGCGACTTATGATCACATCATACTTACGTACTCTACATGCAAATAAAAACAGTGCTTTTAAAGTGCCCCCGGCACTGCCAGGTGGTGCTAGGGAGGTGGAGGGAAGATAAGAAAATAAAATGTAAAAAGTAAATCTTAAAAATGCTTTAAATCATTATCATAAAACTAAATCGGTGTGTCAATATTTTAAAATCTAACTTATAAAGATTTATTAAAGCTATTCTTCTGTTCTTATTGTCAACAGTTTGTTGAAAAGTTGTTGTTTTTTCGGTGGGAATACAGTGTTTAAAACATGTTAATACAATTCTTGAGCTAAACAAAGTAATTGTTGAACAGGGAATAAAAGTGAGTTTGCATTTTGTGTAGCACTTMTTGTGGGTAAGTAATTTTATTTAAATAGCACATTTCACAGTCGAATAGCCACAAGGTGCTTCACAACAACAGCAACAACAACAATAAAAAGCATAAAACACATTTACAAATAAGAAAACAACATAAAACACAACATAAAACTCATACAAACATATTCAAAAGCCTGTTTTTAAAAAGTATGTTTAAAAGCCTTTTAAAGTCTCCACTGAGTCCACAGCTCTTAGAGATTGCGGTAATGAGCTACAACCTGAAACGCCTTGTCCCCACTTGTCTTTACTCGTGATCGAGGAACGAAAAGCTGATTTGAGTCACTGGATCTAAGTGTACGTGAGGGTACGTATATGAGAAGCAAATCTTGGGAACACCTGGGCTAGGCAACAAATGGGACCTCATCAGTTCTACTGAAGTTTTTGTACACTGTACCCAAATTAGTAATCATTACTAAAGCCGTTTATGGTAACTGATTACATRGGGATGTCTAGTTTTTACAAAATCAAAAACCAAACAATTCAAGCTCTGTTTACATAAAGTCTTGTATCCAAGCTTATCCATTATTAAATAACTTAAGATTTTAAAACTAATGTTTACGAGAAATTGACTCAACATTACTCATGTTTATCAGTAATTGCTACTCACATTTATCAGTATTCATTTTTAGTGTTAATAGAAATTACTAAATGTAAATTATAATCAATTTGTATCAATCAATTAAATGCAAGTGCAACATTTTAAATGTAAAWGTGAGTAAATAGTTCACAAAGTGTAAGATTTAAATCATTAACCCAAAGCAGTAAACAGGGAGGAACCAGAGTCATCAGCTATTCTACAGCACCTGCACTCTTACTAACYGTTTTCAGGCTTGTTATTAGTGAATAAAATTACTGAATTAAAACAAATCACCTTGGATAATGACAGATAAGAGTAAGTCAATTTAGGCTGTCATGTGTGCTGCTTTTACAAAATGTCAAGATAATATATAATTTTGTGAGGGAATGGGAAAGAAAAGAAAATTACCCATGATCCTTCACAGTCTCTACACCAATCAAATGAGGCGGTTAGAAAAAAAGAAACAAACTGAACAGACTAACACAGCTGAACTACCAAACAAAATTCATGGCCAGGAATCATTGTAATGCAACAGAAGAGACAGAGACCCGCCTTTTGCAAAAACATGAAAAGATTAGTAATAATAGGTTAACTTAATATGTAAAAGAAAATTTGGGTTTACAGTGTAAAATAACATACATTCAATGACTGATGTTATTATTCAGACTTTTGCTTATCATATTATGGTGTTGGCAACAAATGCAATATGATAATTACGTAATAGAGACAATGAAAAGAAATGTATAGAAACATAAAAGGATTCAAGATCTTCAGTTTAACTTGGCTAATAAGCTTTAAAATACTTATTTTCCAGCACCTAATTAGTGGACTGAGTTGTTTGTTATACAGTCATGCTGCTGTGAACACCAACCACATAACWCTAAAAGATTAGATTTTTGTATTATGAATAATAAGTACTTTACGGCACATTAAACGTACTGTGGGTACAATRGGCACTAATGACAATCACAACACTATAGAGGAGTCTCATTTATAGTATTCTCCTAAAATACTGATTAAATTTATTCAGTATTTAAATAAAAGTTGGGTAATAAAAGTTGAGTAAAAGGCAGAATATTTAAATTTATTCAGTAAAAAAAACAACAAACCACATCTAAATGAGATAACAGTTTTTGTCTTTGTTGCTGCTGTGGCCATCTAAAATTGGGATGACTCCTAGTGTTTAGCTGTAGATGTACATCCAGTGAATTTCATTACAATTAAAACTCCTCTGTCCTGAGTGTGTTCCCATCTGTATTTAACACTGCCACATGTGGTTTGATCACCCTGTATCCACGTTAGAAACAAACCTGGAAGAATGAACTGTGAAAAGGCAGAGAGGACAAAGCGGTGTTTGATACGACTGAATAGAGAAAAAACAGCAAACGGCAAAAGCAAATTAGCAGCTCCATGTTATGCATTCAGCCCTGCTGCTCCTGGCATTAAAGGAAAAAACTGAGCGAGATGGAAGACTCTGTTTCACTGAAGCCTGCTTAATGAACACGTCTCCATCACACAAGCCAAATAAGATATTTTATTTTATTTTAAGAGGCTTCAGTGAGGCATAGCTTCCATCGTGCTACCTTTCAGATTGACAGACTTATGTTCCTGTGAACCATGTTTTCCCTCCTCATCCTCCTCTCCTTTTGTCCAACCCTCTCCCCCTTTTATTACCTTTTTTTTATCTTCCATCACACTTTGTTTCTTATCCCCAATACACTTCTCTACCTCATAACCACATTGCACCTTTACTCAACTTTTATTACCCATCTTATTCGACACTTTCCCCATCTTCATACCACCTCCTCTTCTGTCTTTATTTTATCCTCTGATCTCATCACCTCTGCCTCACATTTTCATCCCACCCCTCTCCACCCCCCTTTATTCCATTTACTTTCCACCTGCCCCCCCACCCCATCCTCCCATCCCTTCCTCATTAGGACCACGATAAGACCCAAGACGAGGTCCTGAAACACCAAGCTAGCATTAGCCAGCTCAAACGCTCCTTTATGGAGGCGCCGCCCCCCTCTCCTCCTCAGCCCAACCAGTGGGAGAAACGCCTCACCTCCTCTCCTGCGTCCGTACGCGTTCAGCAGCAACAAGTGGTACGTCTGAATGGAAGTGTTTGTCTCGATGAGGCTCGTGAGTTTCAGCTGTTTTGTCACTGTTTCCTTGATGAATGTGACGAAACAAGTGTTTACACCAGTCGTCGTGTTTGTTTTCAGCAGGTTTAAAACTCAAAACCTTTTTAGGCTCTTGTCTGTCACAACTGCCACTGTTCCCTCACTTTTCTTGGCTTCCTTTTCTTGGTAAATTTTTCCATGTTTGGGTTTCCTCGATCTCTTTCATAACTTGGCAAAATTGTTGTTTCTAGCTTCGTTTGATTATCGGATTAACCTAACTTCCACTTCTTTTCATCCCCTTTTAGCCTGACACATATTCAGTTTTTTTTTTTTTTTTTTACAGCGCAGTGGTTTTGTTTAAGTTTGTCTCTGTTTTTGAGCTCTGTTGACTCTGCTCTTGTTCATGCAGTCCTTACATACACAGACCAGATGATGGGTTTCTGCATGGCAGCATTTTCTTCTGCTGGGAATCCTCTCCTTTCTTTCCAAACTTGTGTTTTTTGTTTTTATTGTGTGTTTTTGTGATGTAGAGCCTGGAGGAGGAGATAGCTTCAGTGCTTTTCAGATTTGCACCCAGTTTTCGTGAGGCAACACTAGATGGTGTTAAAACCACACGTACCCCTGCTGCTTCCACTGCTGCGCTCTGCAGTTCTTCTGATCCACAAAGGCTTCTTATTTCTACATCTTCTACACTTTCTGCTTCTGAGGTGCTTCTTCTACTTCTGAGCATTTAAGCTGGTATTTCACTGGGCTGCCACTGTTGGAGACTAGTTGTGGATGCAAATTATAGAAAAATATGCACATTTTTCGGTTGCAGTCAGACTGAATTTTCTGTATTTGTGACCAAGTGAATCATTAGGTCGCAAGCTATGTTTTGAAAATCACAGCCTGGTTTTGTGCGGTCAGCCTGACTATGAGCTGAACATGGATTGGAGACATTCGTAAGGATGCTTGGAGTCTCAAGCAAACAACAAAGTTCAGGTTTCTCTATGTTCTATGATGTTTTCTGATGGATTTAAATGTGAAAAAGAAAGATTTAAAAGCATACGTCTCCTTTAAGCACCAGGACTGTGCACCTCTGTGACTCCTACAAGGAAACTAAGAAGCCAAAAAATGTCCCAAGACATTCCGATGGCTCATGGACCCACATAGCAAAAAAATAGTCTGGTCCCCAGTTCTGGCCCACACAATGTYAATTTGGCCCAGCAAAGAATGATGGCCCTTTGGTGGCCTAGTTTTTGTTTCCTAGAGGTGATTGATGCATGGCCCAGCACCACATAAAGCAAACCCCAACCAGGCCAGTTGTGGCATTSCATCTTAAAAACATTGCCACCATTGCCAGACCTGGCCCACATTCAAGTTGACCAACCAAATGCTATGGCAGCAGTCACACTGGCCTGCTGTGTGGGTGTGATGTTCACCAACCAGTCACAGCCCAGTGAGATACTACATTTAGGAAGAAGTTTTCTTTTACGGGAAAACATTTGCTACTCAAGATTTGACTTACTAGTCATTTTGCAGGTTTTAAAGGCTTTGAGAGCAAACTGACACATAAGGATGCTTGTCGGATTTCTTTTAAGCTCGTGTTTGCTGTGGACGCTGCATGGCTGTGGGTTTTTTTTTTTAATTTTATGTGTCGTCCAGAGCAAATGCAAATCTGTTTGCTACATTTTGTGAAATATATATTCCATGTTAAAGACAGCAGGTAGTGAAGCAGGAGTTTAAGTGAAATAAGTAATACAATAACTCATAAAGTAATTATTTTGTGTTGGTTTACTAAGCTTTCTCAAACCTATTTCCCTGCATGCTCTTTTTTGTTGTGCAATTCATCTTATGTCTCCACAAAGACTGCTGATGTCAAAAACCATCTTTTTTTGTGAAAGAAGAAAGACTTCTTTTTGTTTGTTCTGGATATTTCTCTTTAAAGCATGTGTCATCATTTTGTTTTGTTTTTCTTTTCACTCCTTTGATTCCCTACTTTTTGCCAGCTGGTGCAGAAAGTCAGTCACCTGTCAGGAACAGAGTGAGACACAAAAGATGGCGATCCCATCCTCGTAGCGATAACAAGCATCTCATTGTTGCTATGTGCTAACAGTTATTTCTGTGTCGATTGACGTTGTGATGGTAACCTCTCTGTCACGCAGGTTGATGTCCCACAAACAGAAGCAGCTTCACCTGATAACACCATTACTGAAACCAGAGAACCTGCTAAGGTGGTACTAACTTCTTTTCTCTAATCCCTCCATCCTTTCATGACACTTTATAGACCACCACTTCCTTCATGCCTTTATTTATTTTCCTCTGGCAGCTTGAACTTCTCCATTACCACCTTCTGTGTTTTAATTATTTTCCATGACTTGTGTTTAAACTCATTCATCTTTCCCTTTTGTATTAATTTATTCACATTTTTTTAATTTCTGTTCAATGATCACGTTCTGCTTTTMTTTTGTTTTGTTTTTTGTTTTTTTGTCCCCATGCGTTTGTTTGTGTATGCGTGTGCGCCCCGTTGTGTGTCTGTACGTGCGTGCTCGTGTCTGTGAACGTGTGTAGACGACCGAGGTTGAAATCGAAGAAACCGTTGTCATCCAGGAGATTTCCAAAGCGGCCAAACCCGGACTCGTCTCTGTAACGGCCAGCCCCGCCGCCGCCGCCGCCGCCGCTCCGCCTGCAGAGGAGCAGGAAGCGCACAAGGAAGAGGTCAGGGTCGGAGAGGAAGCGGCGGTGGCGGAGGAGGAGGAAGTGCAGCCGGCGAAGCCAGAAAGCGCCTCGTCCGAGAGCGAGAGCGAGGAGGAGGCAGAGTACAATCCAGATGTTCCTGTTCCCATCTCCCAAACACAAATACCAGAGGAGAAGGAAGAGGAAGAGGAGGAGCAGTTTGCACCTCGGGACCCTCCTTCCCTTCCAGCTGAGCTCAGCCACGCCGCAGAAGAAACCACCGAAGAAGAAAAGTTCATAAAGGAGGAAACAGATGCAGAGAAGTCTGCAGTGGAGGAGAGGAAAACTGAACGTGAGACGGAGGAAAGRACAGAAGATCTAATGGTTACTCCGGATGAAGCTCCCGACAGCCCCGTCCCACCGGAGGGGTCCGGGGCGGATTTCACCCAAGAGGAAGAGGGGGAACCTAAAGTGAARGGAGAAGCCTTGCTGGTTGAAGTGGAGCCACGGCTGCAGGTTATTTGTTGCTCTGAGGTAAAGTCTTCACTGAGCCATCTGCGGAGCTTCCCTGGGGTCTGATCCCTCCTGCAGCTGTAGAAACAAACACCCTCCTTTCCCCCCGCTYCTTATCACAGCGCCGGTTTCCTTCCTGCTTGTTTGAAAATTTAAGCCCCATGTACATCCTCACACTCACCTTTGTCCTGTGAATAACTCCCTGAGACAAATCAAAGTACTGTCAAAAAATAAACACCAGTGTTTTTGTGTTTTAAAGACACATCTTCATTCAAACATGTTCATTTCTTTTCTCACATTTCATACCATTATCAACACGGCTAGTGCCAGTGTGGTGTGTTGGTGGTGTTGCCTTCTATTTGACAMTCTGTTTATGTGTTGTGAAGTAAATGGGGCCTAAGTGGGAGATTGCACAATGCTTTTAGGTGCATGCTTGTTTTTTTTATTTTGCTTTGCATGCTGGTTTTTGCCTTTGTGTGGGTAAATGTGTGTGTTTGTTGCCTGTATCCAGATTATGTTTGGCAGTGATAATTCTCTTTTCTTTTTGCTTTTGTGGAAATCATCATTGCCAACCAGTTTGGAAATGCCACCCTCTCATCCTGAATGTCACCTTGTTTACTTTTCAATAGCTGCTTTGTTTTCTAGTCACTGGAGCCGTGCTGGTTCCATGGGCTCGTGTTTTATGCATGTTTATGCTGTGTTGTATTCTGAGCTGCCACCAAAGAAAAACGTGTGGTCGGGCTGCTGCTTTAGTGTTTTGTTTTGGGTAAATGGTTTTATATGGAATTTGCATGATGTTGCGTGAGAGTTCTTGCTCTTTTTTCCCTTTTTTTTTGCACGATTTTTTGTTTTGTTTATGTGTCTACATTTGTACTGCGCTATCACTTTCATTTAGTATTTTAAAAGTGCTAATTCTCTCTCTCTTTTTGTCAGATTAACATTAACCATCTCCTTCCCCGCCCCTCACTCCTGTCTCTCCTCCCTCCCCAGCCGCCTGTGGTAAAGACAGAAATGGTGACTATTTCAGACACGTTCGCAGCCCAGAAAACTGAGATAGCTACAAAAGAAGTTCCCATCGTACATACGGAAACCAAGACCATCACATACGAGGCTGCTCAGGTGCACACTTAAAAAGCCCATGTTTATTTTGATATGGGAAACGTTGCTAATGTTCCACATACTAAAGTGCTTCCTTTTTAGCAGCATTGCATGGACGTCAGTTTACAGAGAGAAGCGTTTGTCTTTGAAACGGCAGTAATCGTAACGAGATGCTYCTGTAGAGCTAATCCTCTCATTTTTTGTTTTTCTGACGTTAGCTGGACGGTAACGGTGACGGTGAACCCGGAGTGTTGATGACTGCTCAAACGATCACCTCTGAGTCTTTGTGCACGACTACAACAACACACATTACTAAGGTACAGAAACCCACAAAGAAGCGCATCCTGGATCATTATCATGACTCCAGTCTGGGAGTTAAATACCACCTTCACGCTGTCGATGTGACGGAGCGGGAAGTTTCTCACTGATTTTTAATATTTTTAACAGAGCTTTAAAAAAATCTAGTCTTTTTCCAGTTTTGGCTGTTTTTTTTAGTGTAATTTTACAGAGTTTTGATTTTACAAGTTTTATTATTTACTGTGTGTTTTGCTGTTTTGTAGCACTTTGTGATTATTAGTAATGAAAGTGAGTTATGTAAATCAGATTCATTATTATTATTATTAGTATTAGTATTAGTATTAAGTTTCTGGTAAATTTTCATTCATTTTCCATTTGAAGATAAGCTTTTGGAAATATTCCAAACTGGAAACTTCATTGGAATTTATGGGAATTAACTGGATATTGGAGGTAATTTAAACAAACTATCTCCTCCAAACAAAATATTAGCTTTTATTTGATTTTGTTTTGACACTGGCCATTAATGAGCTTGATCCAAAGTTATGAAATAAATTAAATTAATGGCATAAAACGTTTAGAAAGCAATAATTTTAAACATTTCTACACTTCTTTTTTGTGGTAATTCTCTTCTAAAATCATGGACAGAACTCTGATATTCACATTTTATGATTTTCTTTCACGGTTTTTCATGTTTGTTGCATTTTACACTCATAAAACATGTAATCAATGTCAATAAAAAAAGTTTTGTCAACAGAGTAAAGGTAACACATTTACTTTACATGTAAATGTGTTACCTTTACTCAGTTCAGTTGAGTGGAAACAGATAACATTTTTTAAAATTAAATTCATTATATCTGATTTTTGAGTGCACAATAAAACTCTGAATTAAACATACTGTATTACTTGTTACTGTTTATACTTGTCTCAACATGGCCATGTAAAATAAATGATATTTTTAGGGTGTGGTTCTCATTAAAGAAAAAATAATCAGGTTGTTTAAGTCAAGATTTTGTAAGAAAAAAATTCAGCTAAAATTATTAAGCTTTAATATAAATTCCAGGTTGATTCCCATAAATTCTTTTATGCCGTACTCCCGTTTTGCATGAATTACCTGACTTTTACATGGTGTTCAACCACGTCTCCTTTTTTATTTTATGACAGAAGATTTATTAAAATCTGTTTTGGCTCCAGCTGCTTCTCCAAACAGCTCACAGTTTCTGTTATTAAAGTCATCACATCAACTTTGTTTCAGACATTAAAGGGCGGGCTGTCTGAGACGAGGATTGAAAAACGCATCGTCATCACTGGAGACTGCGACATCGACCACGATCAGGTCCGATTTCTTACTSCTCAGCTGACGGGTCACTTTATTCTAACCAAACGTGGGCGCTGTGGAAGTCTCTATTTTAGATGCTTAGTCAATGTTTTCTTTCCAGAAACACCAATTTAGGGTTATTTCCTAAAATTTTTGATGATATTTTTAAAACTTCAATGCAAGATTACACATTTTATATTGAATTTTGTATTTAAACGTTAAAAGTACTAATATGGGGATAATTTTCTCTGGCTGTGTTAGTCTCAAAGCTGTGATGAGTCATCTGGTGACATGTCCGTCATGTTGCTTGTCTTCTGAATGCATTTTGCTTTTGTGGAAATGATGCCCACGTTTCATCAGCTCCACTCAGATTTCCCTCACTGACTGGCTTCTWCTGTATAACATCCTCACTTATTCACACCTGCATTCAGAAAACTCTTATCTAACCATTTAAGATTTGTGTTATTTATTTTTTCTGTCACTTTGTTGCTCTTTCATTGTCTTTGATTTAAACAGCATAAAGTGAAACATACACGCTGACGTYTGGCAGCTTTGCTTTAAAAAAAAAACTACACAGATTATATTTAAAGTCATTTCAGCTCTGAGGATGAGCTCGTTTCATAAGTTCACTAAAGTTCAAAGACTCTGGAGCTACCTCTGCAGTAATATTTATAAGAAATTCAAAAAGAAATGGGATACAATTTCTACATTATTGGTCAAATCTGCCTCACACAGACAGATGCAAAATTATAAGACTAAATAAAACAAYTTCAGAGTGATATATCGTGTAAAAGGTTTATACAAGAGAAAAGTTTTTCTAATTTTAATATATTTATARATAAAAAAGCATAAATAGTTTAGCATTTGGTTTGCATGAGTTTTGACCCCTTTTTTGTTTGTTTATGTTGCCTTTATTATATTTCGCTGGATTTACACAACATAAATCAAATGTTCTTTGCTAGAAATTATTATTTTTTTAATAATTTTTGACCATTTGAAGCCGTTTTACTGAAGCGCTCCTCCGGTGTAGGAAGTAAAACGGCTCACTGGTTGTAAATCTGGCTTTTAAGTGATTTTTTTATTTTTCTGTGCTTCTTATTTCATTTCACTTTGATTTACCTGCATCATTTCCCCCCCACCTTCCTTTCCCTCCTCTCCTCTGCCTGCTGTGTTGGGTGCTGCCACCGTGTGGCTGCTCCCGGCTACTGCAGGCACTGGCACAGGCCATAAAGGAGGCCAAAGAGCAACATCCTGACATGTCTGTTACCAGAGTGGTTGTTCATAAAGAAACTGAACTGGCAGAGGAGGAGGATTGACTGAACTCAGGTAATATAAGCGACAGTTACTCATTCAATCATTTTATGGTAGTTGTATTTGTGACGAAAATGCGGAACGCCAGCTGGAGCTGTGGAACATGAAGGGGATTTGAGTTAGAATTAGCTTTGTGCTGGTCCCTGTATCGCTGCAGCTCACTGCGTTCTATCTGTTTTCCCAGAACTGAAAGGCCCAACAAAGCAGCTTCGCCACGACTGACCGCCACCTCCAGGAGCCGAGAGGAAGAAGAGGAGGTTTAGTCATCGGGGCTGAAGTAGTCGCTCTCATCCCAGATGGTGCATTTTAAAAACCAAGAGTAAAAACTACTTTTTCACTCAATCCGAGGGAACAAACAGAACCACTTTGTTAGCCTGACACCTGTAGTTGTATTTTTTTTTTAAATAGTGTGTTTTGTTTTACAAAAAGAGAGCGTGTCATGCGTAACTAAAACTAAAAATGCACCAATAACTGACTCGTATGATTTAAGCATGCCTACTTTAAATAAATCACCATTTTTTTTAAATTAAAACGTAAAATTCAAAACATTTTTTAATCAAAACAGAAAATATTATTGAATCAATACACAGAATCCTAATTTTTTTGTGCATTTTTTAAATTTGTTGAAAACAGCTCCTCGACAAATAATATAACAGTTTTAATAATAAGTTAATGTGTTTAAAGTGCAGGAAACAGGTAAGCACAGCTATTTTTTAAACACATTATAGATTAAAGTTATGCCATCTTTTCACTGTTTTAATACTTAAAGCTTGGAAGCTTAAATATTACAGGAAACAAATCATCCATGTTTTTTATTAATGTTTTTATTTTTGTGTCATAAATCATTCCATTCCTCAACAGCTGAGTCGGTTCATCTTCAGTTCAGATAACAAGACACGATTTGAACTTTTTAAATAAATAATAGCAMTCATTAGGCTTAAGAAGCTGAATGTGACATTTAAAAGGCATCTTACTTTTTTTTTATTAGAGATGAGTTTGAACTGAAAAAGAACAGACTTTAAAGCTGGTGAATAACGAAAAATGAAGGTTAGAAAAAAGAGCAGCTGTACGACACTAACTGTTCCTACTGGTCCTCAGGGTAACAAGGGAGATAAAAACTGACCTTTGATTGGGAGAGAGGACCTGGAAACTGGGTAATAACCGGGAGAGTGCCAACTAATAACTTGGGAATTAATGAAAAAAAAAAGAAAAAGAATGTAAGTTGGCCTTAATCTGTGGGGAAAAACTAGCTTTAACACGTTCTGTTGTATTCTGCAGAGTCGTTTGTTTTGAATTATGCAAAATGTAATCCTGCAGTTTCATTTAAAATATTCAAGTAGCAAAGGTACCAAAATGAGGACGACTTGAAACCAGTTCTGTCCCAGATTCAGCTCCGCTAACGGCAGCATGTTTGTTGTTCTGCACCCGTTCACACAGCTTCTCACATCTTTACAAGAACACAATCAAAGCCTGTTAGGGGATGATCGAAATCTGCACGTTTCACACGTTGTTGTTGTTATTGTTGATTCACATGGAGAGTTTAGATAAAACGCCTCTGTGCTGATGGATTAAGAACCTGTAGCAGCTCATCTCAGTTCATACAGTTTTGTCTCGACTGCGTTTTCCTGACATTTTGCCAATTCTGCTGTTCTCGTGACTCCGCACACTCACAAAACACAAACACTGAATCTGCCACTATACCAAATAGCAACACAACAGTGAGAATTCTTGTAAAGGGAAACCTTTTAGAGGGTTTGAAGCCCCCCTGGAAGCCCTTAGTTAGTTTATTTTCCTGTTCTTTTTACTCGTTTTATGACAAATGTGATTTGTGTTGCAATAAATGTGTCAAAACATGGCTTCATGCAGTTGATACAGATTTTCAGCAAAGTTGTTGTTAAAAAACTTAATTTTATTAAACTCTTATTGGACATTTTGAATAAGATTTAAAAGGCGAATTGGGTTCAGGATATGCATTTATTTAAAAAAATACTATTAATTTTAAACTAATTGTCTCCCTTTTACTAAAGCATCGAATTTGAAGATTTGAAAGTGAATATTTTTAGTAATCTGAGACTTAAAGTCTTGGTTTKATCTCTATGCAGGTATAAACAACATTCCATAATCCTTTAGTTTTGTACATTTTTTTAAGATAAAGCAGCAGAAAATCATTTTAAAACCATATTTTCATCTCTGCAGTTATTTTTTTACTGCTCCAAAAGATCTCATCAACCATGTTTGTAGACTTTCTTGTCATTTCTTTCTTTCTTTTTTTTATTTCTGTGAAATTCTTCCAGTTGTTGGAAGGTGGGATTTGTTGTACCGCCTCTTGCATTTTTAATATTTTCACCATGCTTTGTTTTGCTTGTCTTATTTTAATTATATTTTATTTTTTTTGACAATGAAGGAACACCACTACAAAAAGACTGAAGATTTCTGTCACCTCGCTCTTGTTTAAGGTTCTGGGCCTCTCTCATGTCCCGTCACAGGAGCTTTGGGGCTGCATGGTTGGACTTTTTTTCAAAATTGTTTTCAGTGAACTCCAAACAATCACACGTTAAAAGTTAATAACTTTTTATTACGAGTTTTAAAAAGCAGCACACACGTTTGGATTTTTACAGTTAAAAATGAAAAAAAGTCCCATTTTTATTGGTTCATGCAATGTTTTGATTGCTGTTATACGATTCAAAAAGTGACCATTAGATCACGTTTTATACTTTAAACAGAAGCCAATGAGTAGAAACGGCATGATACATTTTTACAAAAAAAAAAAAAAACAGGTTTTGGAAAATCAGCCAGCTTTGCTTCCTGTTTGCTAACCAGTAATCACTGGTAGGTTTTCATGTCTAGCAGCTTGTCTTGTGTCTCCCCACACAGCCACTCGTCCTCCCTGTGTAACACTGTTTAAATAAAGGAATGTTATACTCTGAAATCTCCCATCACTTTGTTTTCTTTGTTGTAAGGAACTCAAATGGGCTGATAATTGTGCTTTTTATCCAGTTATCCTTTTATTAGACAGTTTAGGGTGAAGCAAAAATAAACTATTTACTTTTCCATAACAATCAGCTGTTAAAAAAACGTTGTGTATAGTTTCTAGCTCATCCTGAGCATTTTAGCAGGGGTGCAACCAAGGGGGGCAGGAAYGGGGTTGATGACCACCCCTAAAAAACACCCTGCTGGCCCCCACCGGACACATAGTTTTCAGAATGCATTTTGAATTTCTCATAAAGGGGCAATATCATGTAAAATCTACTTTTTTGAGTTTTATATCATGTTAAAATGTTATACTCTCATAAAAAAAAACATGCCCAAATCCTTGCTTTGACTCATTCATGCATGTTTGAGAAATCCTGCAGCGTTTTTAGGAAGCCATGCTGAGGAGCAAAARGACAGGTGGGGACCAGAAACGCCTTTTGGGACCAGAAACGCCCCTGGGACGTGTCTTTAAGCCGAACTTCCTCCCTCATCATGGAGCACACCTCCCCGCCCCACACACTCCACCCATGACTCCTGCAGGCTCTCGGCAGGAACAAAGCAAACGAGTGAAAGTGAAACTTAAACTGCTGCTCTTAACACTACTCACTCAGTGAGGCTCTTTTCAGATTCAAAATACCTTTGYGGAAATGTATTTTCAGATGCCAAGTAGACTGCGTCATATCCCCCCTCCCCCCACTGAAATGTATGAGAAATGGAAGGAGGTTCTTAAAGAGACAGAGGCCAATTTCAAGGCGTTTAGAAGAGGAAGTGATGAGAAGATAAGTTTTTTTCTATTTAAACAAAAACAACATTTTAATAACTAAAGGTGACATAGATACTTTAATATGGTATAGTATTTAAAAGTATGCCTGAGAAACACATAATATTGGCCTTTTAAAAATTAGTAAAGGCTCATGAACAGAAAAACAAATGTTTTCGATAAATTAGAAGTTAAATAAAATACATTTCATTGAAGTTTTTTAAATAAACTTTAAATCTAGTCCACCCAAATACAGCTCATCTAAACCATGATGTATTGTCTCAGGAGATGCATAATAAACCTTTAAATGTTAATGCAGGAGAAGTTTCAYTAAGTTGTGTAGTGATGGTGCTTTTCTCATTAAAATAAAATTAAAAAGAATAAAGCAAACTTGGGTGATTTCCCAGTTGTCCAAAAGCTTATATGACAACAATTACAAATTTGGCTTTTGGTGCCAACTCATTATTTTCACTGCCCCCTCATTAAAACATTTCTGGAGGCACCACTGGATTGTGAAAGGTCCAGAACAGAGTTGAAATGTCACAGATTGTGAGAAAAGGACAGGCTCTGTTTTCTGTCCTCTAATCAGTGATTATTTTGTGGTTTTGGGAGTGGGCCCTGTCAGGTGCCGGAATGCGACCCGAACCCTCTGGTCCGGCGGTGTGCAGCTCCACATCTCTGCCTGTAGGTGGATCTCATGTCCCGCTGGAGCCCTGGCAGATCCGCCTCAACTGGGAATTCAAACAGCAACAGCAGGTAATGAATACATACAACATGTTTTSATTAAATGGGGAATAAACTGAAAACCGTAAAAGTCAACAGTTTTTTATAAGAGTGATAAATATTAACAGATTAAACCTGCCTATCTTAACCAAAACACCTAAATTATTTGCAGCGATGTGATTGGTTGTCATTAGAGTTAAAATATTCTAACCAGCAAAGCGTTTTAAAATTACAGTTTTTATTTATGATAAATTAACTTTGTGACCCAGTCAGGAGTAGGATTAAAACATATCCTGAGAAATAAACAAATATAAATATTTTAAGTTTTTGTAGGATAAAGCATACATTGTAAAGTCAAATACACTGTAAAAAATGAAATGTTGGATTTACTTAACCATGTGATGTGACCTGGTTCCACTTAACTGAGTTGAGTAAATTCAAAGCAATATACCAGTTTTTTAACCAAAGAACATGAGTATGTTGCTTTGAATTTACTCAACTCAGTTAAGTGGAACCAGGTCACATAACATGGTTAAGTAAATCCAACATTTCATTTTTAGAGTGTAGACAGGTACAAAAAATAAAAGTAACCAACTGTTTCAGGTGTTATAAAACGGCTGCCAACTACCACATTCGTTTGTTTACCAGAAAAGAGCTGAAGTGACTGAAAATAGGTGAAAAAGCTTGAGTTGAAATGAAGAACTCCAACAATTTTGATGTTTTTGTTTGTATTTACGTTCACATTTATTGAACACAGTATTTAGGTAAAAAGACAGTTGAAATAGTAATTTAACTGGACTAGAAGAAGTTTTGCCAAAGCCGTGTGTGTTTGAACGGTGAACTCTGTCTTTTCAACACGCCACCACCCTGCTTCATCCACAACAATCGTCTTAATCGCTTATCTTTAGCGTTTGGCAGCAGATTCCTAAATTTCCACCTCAACATCTTCTCACAGATGCTCTGCTTCGTAACGTTTGTCCARCCATATCGATTAATGTTGCTCAGTCATGCGGTTCAAGCTTCGCATGGTTTCCAGCAAGTTCGCCAAGTGCTTTGTTGACATTCAGTGCATACCTGCATTTCAGAATCGCATATAATATATCTGGAAAACTACTGGAGTAAACTATTTCAAACTGCAACATTTGTTATGGTTTAAAGTCATACTTTGCTGTGTTCAAATGGGACGTGTGAAATCCACTTTATTAGCTGTTAAATATATTTTGTGTATTTGGAGTCTCTAGGAGTGTGCTGGATGGACAAGTCTTCCCTTGTTGACATATTTTAATTCATAAAAAAAATCTGTGCTGCTTTATAAAAACCCCTCTGTTAAACTTGAATGGAACTGCTCTGGAAGCTGGAAGGGGGCGGAGTTTAAAGTTCCCCATTTGCTTTTAAAGAGACAGCGTCAAAACGAGCTGGTCAGACACCTCAGAAAAGGGGTGAAGGAAGGGCTTGTGGAGTTACAATAAGGAGGGATTGAGACCAAAGCATTGCAGTTCCACTTTATATAGATCCCAATTGAATGATTTAAATGTGAAAAAGAAAGATTTAAAAGCAGGATGTGACTACTTTAAAAACTAAAGGCAATAAGTGTTTACTGAAACCTTTTTGCAACTGATTTGACTGTGATAGTGTACACTTTAAATACGGACAGAAAACACTTATCTTTGCTTTTTAGTGATCAGCTAGATGCACCTCTTACCTCCACAAAATTGGACATCAGAGTTTTATTACATTTCTACCACAAAAAAAAAGGTAATTTGTCCATTTGCTTAGCTGTAATTGATCATAATTGCTACTGCAGTGCACAGCAGATACCACATGCATGCCACTTCAGTTCAAGCTCATTTACTTTAACAAAGATTAGCTCTTAAAAAGCGAGGCACGAACCTGACTTGCAGTGCTTTTTAAATGGATTCACGTGAGGGTGATATTGATGCTTTGTTTTATTTAAAAGCAGAGGGATGATGTCTTGCTTCACATCGAGCAGGTGGTGAAGAAGGACCTGTGATATTTACAGGATGATTGATTGACACCAGAACAAAGGGGTCAGAGTTCAACAACACTTAGAATCAGATCACACACACACAAAAAAAAAAAAAAACAATAAATAAAAATAACCCCTCCTGTAGGCTGTATTTACAGCGGGTAAATTAAGTATTGAACACGTCACCATTTTTCACAGTAAATATATTACTAGAGGTGCTAATGACATGAAATTTTCACCAGATGTCGGTAACAACCCAAGTGATC